ATTTCTCAGTTTTTCCCTTTGCTCTATTATTTTGTCATATTTCTTCTCAGCATCTTATAAGCAGGTTCATATTCTTATACTGAGCTTCATTACTACTGTGGTGATAGGAAGGGGTGTGAGATGCATAATTTTTCCAGTCTGTCTAGGAGGTAGCACCTCCTGGGCTGACGCACTCTGTGGAGTAAGTTGCAGGGCTAGGGAAGAGGCCACCCAGGCTCTGGACAGGCCAGAGTCGATGCCAAGGGAGAGGAAGGGTCAGTGTGCGCAGACGTGCTGGGCCTCCCAGCCCGGACACCAGGCTGCCGCGTGCAGAGGGTGTGGGGAAGACACTGTTGGAGGAGGGTCCGCTCGCCGTGGTTGATCTTCACCTACGTGCTCTTTCGGTGTTCTTAGTTTTGTGAGAGACAACTAATAAAAATTATTCCACTTTATTTCTAGCTTAGAAAAGTCAAGCAGCTGTCATTTATCTACCCCAAGTGGGGGAACAGGGATTTCACAGCTAATTGAGCTCTTTAGGAAACTTGAAGACAGTTTTAGTGAATTTGGCTTTGAATATAACCTTCATAGAAAAATCATGTGGGTACCCAGATGAAATAGGCCACTGTTGGCACAAAATTGTAGAAAATGGCACTGTGACCCTGTCACATTATCACAGTTTTGCTAATTTCTGTATCCATTCACATAGATGGCTCTAATTTTTTAAACTGTTGAAGTGTACTCCATGTACAGAGAAGTGCATGTTTTATACATGTGTAGCTTGATGATTTTCAAGCAGGAACTCACCCATGTAATCACAACCCAGATTAAAAAATAAAAGTTACTAGGATGCCTTAGGTAGCTTTTACACGTGATTGGTGGCTCATACAGGGATGAGAAGTTCAGTCTTAGGTGAAAATAGACAAACTGTGTTCAAAGCATGGGGCTGGTGTTCAGCAGTGTTTGGTGATGGTCAGCATACCTTTGCACGCTGTCTGTCAGGCCTTGCCTGGTTTTAGACGCTGCGTGTGCCCTCGGATCCTGAGGGTCACAGAGGAGATAGCCACATGGCCGCACCGCACCGCTCATGTGTGTACTTGGGCCTCGCTGTGGCAGTGCCCTGCCCTGGGGGAGTAGCACTCAGCCAGCTCTGTGTGGGCACTGTGAGTGCCACCTTGGGGTGGTGTAAGCTGAGGGCCAGCGGGAGAGAGCAGGTGCCGTGCTAGGAGGGAAGGGCTTCCTGCCCCAATTGCCCCGTTGGAACTGTGCTCTGTGCTGTGCTGCTGCTCCGGCACTTGGAGGACAGGCAGTGGTGTGCTGCTGCTCTGGTTGAGGCTGGGCTTTGCTTAACCTCTCGGGGTGGGGATGGGACAGACAGTGCAGCCGGCAACAGGTCCTGTCCGTAGGATGGGTGAGTGCTGACATTTTGACGTGGAACTGAAAGTAGTTTGGTTTTCCCATTTTAATAAACATCTGGGTGTCCGATAAATAATATCTGAGTTAATTTTCACAACACTCAAAGGGAGCTGTTGTGAACTCTATGGATGAGGAAACTGAGGCACAGAGCAGTAACTCACTGTAGGATTGGAGGCCCATGTGCCGAGTGACGGCATGTTCTAAAGGCCTGGCTGTCCCCTGAGAGGGACATGATGACCGTTTGAGGACAGGGATCGGGGCTCCACCTGGGAGCAGAGGAGGAGCACGTCCCTTATTCCCATGATCGTCACGTGTGTTACCTGAAAATTTAGAGGCCAGGCTTCCCATTCATTCTAGTCATGTGACTTACTTATTTTAATTATCTTTTTAGTCTGTGAAACTGGGCGGGGTTTTTTTTGTTGTTGTTGTTGTTTTATTGATTCCACAAGTGTGTACTGAGGACCTACTGTGTGTGAACCAGGGACTCTTCGAGGCACCAGATTATAGCTGTGAACCCAGCAGGCAAGAGCTTTGCTTTGAAGGAATTTGCATCCTTTTAGGGGTGAGCAAGCAAATGTGGGCATAGCATCGAGTCACGAACAGCAAGGCAGGACGAGGAGCAGGTGTTGAGTGGTCAGGGAAGACCCTTGGATAATGGTGGGGCGGGGTGGGAGGAGACCCCTATGCAGCGAGTGAGGGTGGGAAGGGATGAGAGGCGGGGGACCCAGATGGGGTGGGAGCCCCTGGGGAGTTGGGAGTGGAAGAAGGATGGCACTGAGGGGCCCCCAAAGGAGGGCCAGTGCCTGAAGACGGGTGAGAGGAGGCTGCCTTTGCCTCTGGCCTGTCTGTGCCTTAGAACACCTCAGGCAGACCGTGCTGTGAGAGACTCACTCTGACTCGTGAGTGCAGACAGACTAGGGGTGGGAACTGGAGAGAGTAGGGCGGGGGGTGTCACCAGAGGCCAGCAGCAGGTGAGGGGGGTGCCCAGGGGGTCTCCTCTCTCTGTGCTGGGGCTGGCCATGCATTGTGAGGTTAGTGTGTCTCTGCCTGGCCTCCACCACCCAATGCCAGGAGCACATCTCCTGGTCTGGCAGCCTGGTCCCTGGGGGCTACCATCAGCGCACAGGAGCAGATGGTGGTAGAGGTGTGGGACCAGGACTTTGGGGCTGTAGCTATATTTGGCTTTTCCCTCTATTTTTTGCATGATTTTTTGGGGGGATGGGGATGTCTTTGTGAGTCTATGATATGTCACATGGGTTCATGTAACCATTTTGTGGCGTAGATGCAGATGACCACTGAGTCACACACAGGTCTTCCTTGTGCTGCCTCTTTGAGGCCACATGTATCCTTCCTTCAGCCCCTGGCTACCACTTGTCTGCTCTCCAAGTCTGTGATTTTGGCGTTTTGAGAATGGCCTATAAATGGTGGAATCACATAGGATGTAACTTTTGGGGACTGGCTTTTTTCCTCAGCACAGTGCCCTGCAGAGTGTAATGCGATGGCTGTACCAGTAGTTCCTCTGTATTGTCAAGTTGTGCCCCATGATGTGGATGAACCACAGTTCATTAACCATTCTCTCGCTGACGGGCATTAAAGTAGTTTCCAGTTTTGGCCATTACGAATAAACTGCTGTGAACATTCGCGTGCGGGTTTATGTGTGACTGTAAGTGTTCATTTCTCCTGGATGAATACCAGGAGTACAGTTGCATGCTCGTGCAATACATGTATGTGTAACTGAGAGTCTGCCACAGTGACGTTGCGGGTTTGTGCTGTCATGTCACTTTTACTACTAGCAACGCAGCAGAGATCTGTTCCCCCCCCATCCTCGGGGTTACTGAATGTCAGTCTGCAGTGTCACCCATCCAGTAGGAATAGTGGTATCTCATGGCGGCTTTATTTTGCATCGCATAGTGACATTGAACAGCTTTTCATGGGTTTATTTGCCACCTGTGTGTCTTCAGGGATGTGCTTTTTCAAGTCTTCTGCCCATTTTCTAAGTGGGTTCTTTGTTTTCTTAAACTGGTTTCTTTAGGTGGTCTCAGTTGAGTCCTTTGTTGAATATGTGATTAGTAAAAATTTTCTCCTAGGAAGGTGAACAATGCAGGAAAGGGGCAGGGTCTCTGGCAGAACAGGCATCTCAGTTCTAATGACTGTGTTTTGAAGGTGAGCTGGAAGCTTAGTGGGTGGGTTGGGTGGCTCCTGCATTTCTGGCTTGAACAAAGGTTGATGTCATTCACTGCCAAGGGGAGTGCTGGAGGGATGCTAGTGTGGGTGTCTGGTTAGCACTGTGGGTGCAGAAGGAGGCGTTGGGAAGGCAGTGGACGGAGATGGGGGTCCAGAATGCAGGAAGTGTGGATTTTAGAGTTGTGCAGGTGGTGGGGAATTGAAGGTCGCAGGCCTGGGTGAGCATGTGGACAGAGAAGCATAGACACTGGAGTCTCAGCCTAGGACACTGGATGTAGGCAGTGTAAAGGAGGAGCCCCGAGAGGTAGGAACAGGGATGGGTTCCCGGACGCCATGAAGGAGGTAGTCGCCCTCAGGTTCTGCTCCATCCCCTGAGCCTGAGGGGACTGACCAGTGGAGCCTCATGAGGGAAGGGCAGGGGCAGGGGCCCCAGTGGCCTTGAATTCAAAGGAGGGAGGGAGAAGGAGGAAGGAAGCCAGGCAATGAATGCCGAAACCCTGCTGCACTGCGCCCTGCCTTGCTGCAGCTAGAGCGGTGGGCCTTGGAGAGAGCCCTGAGGATGTTCCCAGAAGTGGGAGGAGCCTGTGGCCTCCACATGCTGGACCCTGCCTTGGTGCCCACATAGGACAGTGTGGTGGGGAGAGCCGGCACCACAGTGGGTACCTGGGATAGATAAGCAGAGGTCAGTTGAGCACTGTGGGCTGGGCACCTGTGCACGTCAGGTGCTGTCTGACTGAGTGTGAAATGGAGAATCAGGGACTGTGAGTCTGTGAAACTCCTTAACTTTTATTCTTTGAAAGCATTTAGCCTGCATTGTTTTTTTTGTTTGTTTGTTTCTTTTTAATATAAATACACTTGACTCATGTCAAGGAAGCTCTATTAAAGGTGAACCCAACTATTAAACTGTAAGCATTTTACCATGAGGTTTAACATCTCTGGCTCTTGTTTGCTCAGTTAAAAGGTGAGAAACCTTCTGAAAGAAAAGGGACAATTCTTCTTTGTTAAAGAAGAAACAGCCATAAAACTGTTGCTTAATGACCCAGATATATTTGCAGATTTATTTTGAAAGGAATAATGCGTACTAAGTGGTATTCAAGTCTTAAATCTACTGTAAGACCCAAAACATATTTGTGTTTATTTTGAAAAGAGCAATGCAGATTAAGTGGTATTTGAGTCTCTTGAGTCTACAACACTTTTTTCCCCCTATTTAGCTGATTTAAATGTTTTTTGTTACTAGTGTTTTAAAGTCATGAAATGCCTGCTTTTTTGTTTCATTCATTAAACACCTCCTAGCACATGAGGTGAGCTTGAAGTGGGCTTCTGTACACCAGTTGTGCACTTGGGGACATGCAGGCTGTGTCCTGTCCTAGGTGGGACACCTACCCTCTGGTCCGGCAGGTGCTGACTGCTGAATTTTCTTTCAGGTGCACGTTCAGGTTCCCGAGCACAAACATCAAGATAACGTTCACTGCCCTGTCCAGTGAGAAGAGGGAGAAGCAGGAGGCACCCGAGTCTCCAGTGAAGCCCGTGCAGGCCCACATCTCACCCCTGACCATCAACATTCCAGACACCATGGCCCACCTCATCAGTCCCCTCCCCTCCCCAACAGGAACCATCAGGTACAGAGCTTCTGTGGCGGGCGGGGGCTGCTAGGGGGCTGGGGCATGTATGCTGTGAAGTGCATGAACACATCAAGATTTCAGGCGTCTCCTCCTGCCTTGGGACTTCCAGAAGCGGTCATAAGTCACAGTAATAGGCCGGGGCAGACAGTGGCACCTTCTGCCTTCCTTGGGCTGATGACCTGGAAAAGGGAGATGTTGAGGGTGCTTAAAATGCCCTTTAGTTTCCAGATACTATTTGTTCTGTTCCCTTCATTGTGAAACACTGTGCCCAGGTGTTGTGGTTTTCACCTGTGCATTTGTTTTGAACGCAAGTGGTAGGGGCATGATTTGTCATACTGGTCTAAAGTCTGGGATAGGTTTTCATTTGCATTTTGAGTTATTTTAGTTTGCTCCAATTTCATATGAATTCTGATAATTTGTACTTTGAACTGATGATGAGTTTGACCACAGTGAAGTAACAAACGTGTTTGTCACGATGTCCTAAAATAGCCAGGGTGCCTCGGGAGAATGGAGGTCAGCAGCTTCGGGGCCCTCAGAACCCAGAACCCAGTTCACAATTGTCAGGTTGTGATGAGCTCTTGGGACAGTAGCTTAGCTGAGGAACAGCCACGGGACTCTGTAGATGTGTGTGTTTGGAGCAGGTGAGTTGAAGCCTGTGTTGAAGCAGAGTCCCACCATGACCAGGGGTGCACTCTGACCATGGGCTGGGCCTCAAATGGGTCAGTCCTCTTATGGTCTTTTGGCTTTTAGAAAAGTAGAGTATTTCTCTGGGCCTCGTCTTAGCTGTGAGTAATGCTAAACTTGGGTGCTTCTCTCTTGAGTTGGGCTCCTCCTGTCCAGGTCTGTCCACAGAGCACAGCTGGGAGATGGGGACAGCCTTGTCTGTCCTGCCCAGGCTGTCCCTGTGTGTGGCGGAGAGAGGGAGTGTGCAGGGAGCCCTGGCAGCTCTGGGCTATATCTCTCAGCCATGCATCTCTGTCTGTTCCTTAAAAACCAGCCTCAATAATAGGTGCTGTGGAGAGGCATCCGTGGGTTAAGTGGAGGGAGTGGCGGGTGGACGAGGGCTGCTGCCCTGGGCTTGGTGCTTTGTGGTGCAGCTGCTGCAGGTGTCGGCCCCTTCCCTCTGGCCTGTGGCTGCCCCCTCCTCCTGAGGAGGCTGCCTGTTTCTCTTTCTTGGTTCTCTTTGTCTGCGTGTGACTAAATGGACCAGATAGTGTGTCAGTAGGAAGGCAAAAGTCAGCTTCCCCATACCAAATTTTTCCTCAGCACCATGTGTAAGTACACAGATTCACAGAGGAGGAGTGGCATGGAGACAGAGTTCTGGGCTCTCAGGAAAGGGGCTGGTTGGAAACCTTAGGATTGAAATCACCTCCTGACCTAGCAGCTCCTCACCCTCTGCTCAGTCGTCACCCTGCTTTCCTTGCTCACTCCACCCCCCCAGGTCCTCTGTCTCTCTCACCATCACCAGTGTTGACCATCATAGCAGACCTACCTCTGCAAACCCATTGTGCAGCCGGTAGGACTGCTCACCTTCTCATGTCAGCATGGTGTAAATGTCAGAGAGGCCTCAAGCCCCGTGAAGGAGGTTGGGAGGGCAGTCCTGCCGGCTTCCTTGCTCCTCTCTGGGGCTCGCCTGTGTGAGCACTCGCCGAGTCGGGGGCCGCACGTTCTGATGGTGCCCGTCGTGGGGAGTCTGATGACTACAGAGGCTGCTGGGCCAGCCAGCCCTGCAGAATCCTGCTTTCCAGTTCAGGTGTTTGAAGCTAACTACTATTTCTTAGCAGTTTTTCCAGAAATTTTTGGTATATTTGTAGTACTTTACTTTTTTTCCTTCTAAACACAAATGAGATCTAACCATATATACTGCTCTATAACTTAATGGATTTTTAAAACAATCTTCTCTTGGTATTCTTCCATTTCAGTAGCTTGTTCTCATTTTAAAAAGCGTAATAATACTGTACAGAAAAGGGAGCATAAAGTGGACACAGCTGGGTGAGCCGTGACAGACTAGCATGGCCTTCAGTTGGCACAGAGATCGTGACTCAGAACATTCCCAGTGCCGCAGCCCTCCCTACTTCTGGGGAAAATGCATGTGTGAAAATGGGTTTCTGCTTCTGTTTTCTGGGTGTACCCCAAGTGTGATAGGATGCATGTGCTCCTGGGGCCCATTGCCACCCGTCCACAATCTCCTGTCCTTTCCATGCACCCTGTCCTCAGCCTGGCTGCCTGCCCCCTCTCTCTTGACGCTCCCTGCTGGTTCCTTGGTGTAGCTGGAGGCCACTGGTCTGCAGCCCGTCCTCAGCTTCCTGGTGAGGGAGTGAGGGGGTGAGTGGAGCCTGTGCTCTGTGTGTCTGCTAGGCCGCACCCTGGAGCCGTCACAGAAGCTCTTCGTCCTTGGTGAGTTCCCGAACCACCTGCGCCTCAGTTTCCTCACTGATGAAACAAGTGGGCCTCCACCTCCTTTGAGAGAGTGTCTTGCGATTATGTGAGATGGTTCATGTCCATAAATACATGATTTCCATGTATTTCTTGGTGTGATAGAGGATTAATGAGGCTCTTTTTTCATAGGAAATGCCAATATTCTCTCAAATTTGTTTTTCCTGATGTTGGGAGCCGTCACGGAAGCATGGTGTGTATGCTCTGTAGTGGACTGATGGGAGCAACTTTTTCTTGTCCACAGTGCTGCAAACTCCTGCCCGTCCAGTCCCCGGGGAGCAGGGTCTTCAGGATACAAAATGGGCCGTGTGATACCATCTGACCTCAATTTAATGGCTGACAACTCGCAGCCAGAAAATGAAAAGGAAGCTTCAGGTGGAGATAGCCCAAAGGTAAATGTCTTACAGCCTTGTAACTGAACCCAGGGCCATTGTGTGGCCAGCTCTCCTCCCTGCACTGCCTGCATGTCCAGGACCATCCCCACCAGGGCCTTTTGAGAAGCACGTGTTGGCATGTATCAGTGAAGCCCTGGTCTGAGTGGCTGGGGCTGGTTGTGGGGTCACTGGTGCTGCGCATGTTCTCCGGGTTGAGATCTTACAGGTGCATGGTTTTGGTCATTCAGCTCTGGGTTCTACCTGTGGCATCTGTGGGCCCAGGTGTTGAAAGTTGGACAGTGGAGGACAAGAGAGGAGGCCCTTGGTCCTCATGGGGTGACTTGCATTGTGTCCCAGAATTGTCCCTCGTGTTTAGTCCTGCTGTCCTGAATGCTGAGGATGCTCGTGCATACATCAGAACATGTGTTTGTGTGCACAAACAGGCACACACTTTGGGAGGACCCATCAGTCCCCTTTTGGGACAGTAGTTTTTGATGGTCCACATTATGACCCTGTGTGTTTTTAGTCTTTGACCCTCTAATACCATTCTAGGACTATGTCTAAAGGAAATGGACAAAGATCTCAAACAAAAGTTGATAGAAAACAGAAAATTGAGAGTAACCTCAGTGCCACATGAGGGAAGGGTGATCAAGCAAGGGTAGGAGCATGCATGTGTTTGCTGATGTGGACGTGCTCTAGGCAGAATGCTACGTGAAAAGGAGCAAAACTGTGTAGTAGAACTTCAGTTACATGTGTACAGATGTGACGTGTTCATGCCATGCAGCATTGGCACACAGCCCTGGGGACCAGTCAGCAGCAACTGTGCACCATCCGCCTGCAGCAGCCAGCAGCCCTACACGTGGGGCTGGACAGGCTCAGAGGGCGCCCTTTTTGGATTCCATTTTTGTCCATTGCCTGTTTAAAAAAACAGGCAAAACTAAATAGTGTTGTTCGGGATACATTCTTAGATAGTAAAACTTTTAATCACAGCAAGATGTGATCACTGTAAAATGTCAGGAGTGATGTAGCCTCTGTGGGAGGTAAAGGCGGTGGGTCAGGCAGTCATGTGGAAGCCTCTGGGATGTGGGCTATGTTCTCTCCTGACCTCGTTCTGATTGTACTGTGTTCACGTCACAAAAACTTGTTTTCAGCTTATAACACAGACAGGCTTTTCCTGTCTGTCAAAAAAAAGTTTTTAGAAATGTATAGAAAAAGAGGACCAGGAAACACCCAGAGCAGCAGCATCACAGTGAGGACGGCTCTGTGCGCTGCATCTGGGGACGCCAGCTCGCCGCTGCCCTGGCCCCTTGCTGTGCCTGAGCTTGCTCAGTGCTCGGGAGACGTCGGCCCCTGCCGAGTAGGGTGCCGGGACTAGGCGACTCCGGCTCTCTTTATGGAGCATGTGCCCACTGCAGGCTGGCTGGGCGAGCGCAGCCCACGCACCTCAGACGCTGGCGGAGGAGTCCGTCCGGCCTACAGTGCTCACCTCTGCCTGCAGTTGCCGTGCACAAGGAGCTCCTCGGCGATGGGCATGCGGTGGTTCCAGGCGGATGTTACTTTGGCCCTGTGTGCCTGTACCCCACCCCCTTGTGCTCTTGGGGACCCCCAGACCTGGGAGGGAGGCCTGCCACTGTGCCTTTCACCACCACTAGCCCTGCCTGACTCACCACTGGGTCCATGTGCCCTGGACTCTGTGGAGGTCGAGCAGCTTCTCCCTTTTTTTCTTTTCATTTTTGCTTTCTGGACTTTGTCCTCATGCGGTTTTGGTGTTCTTTTTTATACTGCTGTGTATTTTCCCATTTGCTTCCTCCAAATTTCCCAGATGCTTCCCAAATGCTCCCGAATTATATTACTTTTACAATGAGGAAAACTAAGCATTATTTCAAGAACACTTAAAAACATAAAGAATCCTGAATTTTAATAAATTTAGTAAAAATTTTGATAATGTCAATACTTCTTTTTGTAACTTAAATACAGGATGATTCAAAGCCACCTTATTCCTATGCACAATTAATCGTACAAGCAATTACGATGGCTCCTGATAAACAACTCACCCTAAATGGAATTTATACGCACATCACTAAAAATTACCCGTACTACAGGACTGCAGACAAGGGCTGGCAGGTAGGTAAATCCATTCCGTTTGTTACTAAATGTTTCTGTTAAATGTCTTGTAGAGCTGACTGACCACTGAGAGGAAAATAAAGCTGCTGTGTTACTGAACTCGGGCACAGGTAACAGGCAGCGGTAGAGGGGGAGGGTCATGTGCTGGTGGCCCACTGAGCCATGCCCTTCCTGCCTGTCTGTGGAGTGCAAGGGATAGCGATTCTAGAAGAAAATCTCATTCTAACTTTACTGTCAAGGTCTCATGGGTGGGAAAGGCATGGATTGTTGGAGATGTTTCTCTTGGACCGGTGCAGTTCATTCCCTCTGTCTGAAATAAAGTCAGAAGTCCAGCCTTGCCTTCATGTTGGCATCTCCTGCCTGCCTTTTCTGCATCTCCTGATGTACACAGCTTTCTGAGATTTGCACAGGGATCATTCTCAAACTGTTGACCAAAGAGCTTTTTCTTCAAAAGGCATCTTCTCCAATTGGCCAGTATATAAAACAAGTGACAGTGACACTCCCCTGTTTAAGTCAGGGTGCCCACTGGCTCGTCTGCCTGTACTTCTAGCCGACTCCTAAGGTGTGTGGGACCCAGGCTGCCTCAGATGACATTTTGAAGTCAATGTGTAATATTTCCATTGTTTTGCTTATTAATTTAAATTTTAGACCTTGACATTGTGTAGGTTTTTTCTTATTCTGTGTATCTATGCTATGTGTGGCTACTGACTGGATGTCCAGTAGATCCTCGCTAATTCAGACAATATGGGGAGGAGTAAGTTTGAAATACAGAGTAGTAAAAGCATGAGGGAGAAGAAATGTACATTTGTAGTTTTTGAATTCATTAAGTAACCAGGAATGACTACAAAATTCCTGAGGCTTATTAAGTAAAAGGGCCTTTAAAAAACGTGTCTGTTGAACTATGACCATAACTATAACCAAGTGATGTGGGTAGGGGTGTGGGATAACTGTTTAGTGTTTAATGAAAAGTAAAACTTTTTTCTTCTATCTGCAGATGTGTAAACATTATAGTGAAAGTAGTCTACCAACCAAATCCCAAATATTTCCTTTGTGAAGGGTCTTTGGTGGTGGAAGATAGAGTAAGGCCCAGCCTCTCCTCCTGGCCTGTAGTGTCATAGAAAGGCAGCATGTCTTACTTGGCAGTGAGGGAAATGCTGGGTCTGGAGAACACTTCCTATCCAGCTCCTTGGCAGGTCTCTTGATGCATCGCATTGTAAGCCCTAGCGGTACTTCCCGGAGTTAATCACAGCAAGGCTTGCTTCAGAGAGTGCGAAGCGAGAGGAGCGGAACCAGACAGTCGTCTGTATCTGGTCTAGTGATCGCGTGGGGACTGGAGCTCCTTGTGTGCCGACAGGCGAGGCCTCGGTGTCCCCAGAGAGCTGAGGCGATGTCGAGTGCCGCGCACCATGTGCGGGATTCTGATGACTTCAGTGCTGGGTGGTGGGCTTTATGGGGAGAGCACTTCTGAAAATCCTGGCCAGACTTGCAGTGGTATGTTTCCCAGTGTTTCCTAACATCCATTTATGTGAACTGCTTTCAGCGTCACAGGCTTTTCTTGCCAAAGAGGGCTGAAAGGGTGAAGGTCAGCCTTCAGGGGCAACCTCCTTCTGGCTTCAGTCTCCTGGAGAGTCAGTCAGGCCAGCAGGGGTCACGGTGACAGAGGGACGAGTCTCTCAGATGTGATCTCCCCAGCAACCGTTGCCGCTGGCTCCTGGAGCAACTCCACAGCCCACTTAGGTCGTTACAGGCATACCTGCCAGTCCAGCGCCCTCCCACCCAGCTGTCTTTGTACCCCACTGACCCAGGTGTCTGTGCGCCTCCCCCAGGTGTCTGTGCATTGTTCTCTGAAGCTGTCATTAATGCCTGTGTACTCTTCCAGCTGCCTGTGTACCCCCCCACCCAGCTCTCTTTGTACCCCCTCAACCCAGCTGTGTATCCCCACCCAGCTGTCTGTATGCCCCCTAACCAGCTGTCATTAATGTCTACACGCCCCCACCCAGCTGTCAAATCCTGTGCATTCTCCCAGCTGCCTGTACACCCTCCTGCCCAGCTGTTAATACCTGTGTACCCCCCCATCCAGCTGTCTTTGTACCCCTTCCACCCAGGTGTCATTAATGCCTGTGTACCCCTGCCCCTCAGCTGCCTGTGCACCTCCCACCCGGATGTCCTTAATGCCTGTTCTTCCTGACATGCCTTCTCTTCTGTCTAGATCAAGGTCCGTAAGGGTGATTCTTGCCTGCGTAAGGCTGTTCCTGAGACATGTCACACTCCCTGGCTCCAGGTGTTACGTGGGGAGGGAGACTCCCAGCTCCGGCCTTTCTTTAGGCTACAGACACGCACTCTCTTCTTTCTTTCCTTGCTGGTCCTCAGCTGTGCCCAGTACTGATCTGCTTGTGTCCTTTTTCTGTCAGGAGATTCTCAGCTGGCCTCCCAAAGCAATTGTACTTAGAGTCTGTGTGTTTAAGACCTTATTCCCATTTCCTCCTTCCTGGATTAAAACAAAAAAAGCCTTTCCATTGTTCAACCTTGTTTCTTAAAACACCCAGATCCTTTTACTTTTGATGGGGGGGGAGATACTACCAACCAAAACAGCTATTTTTAAAAATTAAAACATTGACTATATTCCTGTGCTTTACTTTTGGTCCTGATTTATTTGATAATTGGAGCGTCATAATTCTTAATCTTCACATATTTTGTTATTCCCCCACCCTTCTTAACAATCCATTTTAATTTTAATTTTTTTTAGCATTGTCTATTTTTTGCCAAGTAAAGACATTAAACATGGAGAAACAATAAACTGCCATCACTTTACAAAGGAAAAGATATTTTAAAACTAAAAATCAAGAAAACAATCTCAGAACTGAGGCTGGTTTTTTCAGTAGGCTTCAACTTGGCGAAAAACAGTGCAGTGCTTCGCAGTTCTTCGCGGCCTGGTGACACTCGCATCAGGGACCAGCACTTGTGGTGGCCGGCGCTAGAGTGGAGCCTGCGGAGTGGCACCGGGGCCGGGAGCTGGTGCCAGGAACAGCTCTGGATGCACAGCAGCTCCCGGCTCACAGCGGGGGCCAGTCAGAGCCCGAGCACCGCCAGTTTCTCTTGCAAGCGTGGACGGAAGGGGCGCTTTCTGGAGCGTGGGCCCTGGGTGCTTGAACTGCGCTCTGTGTCAGCCCCTGAGGGAGGACGTGTGTCGGCACTTCCCACCACACCTGTCTTGACGCTTAGTGTGAGCCCACAGCTACCTTTCAGATCTAACTTTTGGTATTTCACATTGTCTACCCTTGGCAAAGCTTTTTGATTGACCTAGAGCAAATTCTAGGATAAAACAAGATGGTCTGAGTGATGGAAAGATGGCATATTTCTTTTGGTTGCATATTTGTGCCAAAATGTTTTCTTATGATTTATAATTATAATTATACCCAGCCCAGAATTGAGGTATTTGTTGTGACCGAAAATTTTGAGAATTCTGGGGCTGTCAGCCTCTGAAGGATCAGAGCTGGCTTCCTACAGTACAGGGGGTGCGCTGTTCTTCCCTCCACCGCATGTGGGGCTCTTCTGGAAGATTCTCCTAACTGCACCCTTCTCGCCAATTTCTTTCAAGCCCTCACTCACCATGTAAAATATACACTGCAGAGTCCTTAGCAGGCCAATAAGAAACTGCTCTTGAAAACCCAAGGAATGGGGTGGTTAGGCTGACTCAGGGTGCTCAGGGAGGACAGCTCAGAGCCAGCTCCGCCGGCCCCAGCTGAGGGGCAGGGCCGGGAAGAGGGTGGGCTCAGGATTGCAGCTCCCCTTCACATTTAGTTTTATAGAAAATAACCTGCCTTTTCTCTGAATATAATGATGTCTGAATCACTGGAGTCAGAATCAGTGTGGTTTAATGTATGTAGCTGGGTTTGATCAAATTACAGAGGCCTTCGATTACCTTAGAAGTATAATTACTTTATTTTTTGTGTGCCCACATTAAATGTCTCACTACTTCCTCATATTTTCTAGAGTCTTACTGGCTGAACAATCACAGGTGACAATAAATTGGGCCTCATTTGCCTGTGGGACTGTGGTGAGTGGAGAGGAGACTGGAGTCTATTATGATGGCACAGAGTGGGTCCTGGTACGTTTTCGGTACGGAAGATAGCAGCTCCCCCCACCTGAGAACCGTACAGCTTGCCAGTGTGTCAGGGGTCGGACAGCAGCAACAAGGTGGACCCTGCTGGTGTCCTTTATCAGGGTAGAAACCTAGCCTCCCTGTCCCCTGAAGGGGCACTTCCTGTGCCCTGATTCCCGCTCTGCCGAGTTCCCTTTCTTCTCCTGACAGGAGGCACCTTGTCCCACTCCACACCAGTCAGTCCAGGAGCTTGTCACTTTGTCCCGTACTGCAGCTTGGGGGTCACTTCTGAGTGTGTGCCTGGGCAGCCATGTTCTGACAGTACACAGAGGAACTCGACCTTCACATGCCGGCTGCATCCGATGATAAAACATAGCAAGCATTGTGGTTATGGAAATACTGTACATCATAGAAAACCTTTGTATATAAAGTCTCACAAATCACAGGCACAATCTAGCCTGCCCCTTCATGTTGCCAGTGAAGTATCCCGTTAATGGTGCTCATCATGGCCTGTGACCAGTGTGGCACTTGAACCGTCCCTTAGAGTGGTTGTAAAGTGGTATTTGGTAGGTCTGATTTCTGAGCCACTGTTTATAGCAATTCACAATTTCATGCCATGGCTAGCAGTTCTCTGAGAAGGTTAACTGAGGAATTTAGAAATAATTTTTGGATAGCCCAGAATTTAACTTTGTTACCACTTTGAAACTTAAATAGCCCATTAATTTTAAATTTACATGTTAATGTAGATGTAGGAAATGATCTGAATGCACAACTTGGATCTCGCTTTCCCTGACCTTTGGAGATCTCAAGATCAAGTTCTCCGCCCCCAGTTACATTATTGTGCGAGAGTTCCTCAAATCGTCTGTAAACTGTGATCCGAGTGTTTTGCAATAGGAAGAAGAATAGAGTGCGAGTTGAGAGAGATTTTCTTTTTGTGCCTCATGGGGTTGTTGTGAGGATCAAATAGAAACATGGGTGCACTTTGCAAAGCTTTCTCTTAACTGAGCTGTAGGCTCAGAGATCTCTCAGCCTGTGGCCATTTTCTCTCCTTTGCTAGTTTGCCAAATACTTCATAGGGGTTTAATCCATTTTAAGTGGCTGTGACAGATACTATAAGCTAGAATTCTGTGTTCAAAAAGTATTTAAAGAATTGGTTTATCTTGGCTCTGCTCGTCTCCAAACAGGGAGAGGTCAGCAGGAAAGGTCAAATGACTGCGGTGATGAGGTCTTGGTTTCTTACCTGGAAAAGGTGGAAAGCTGACGTATTTCCAAAGAGGAAATAGCCTCTTTTTTCATGTGGACCCTTTCCCTGTTCCACAGCCTCTCTGTGTCTGCTCTCCCTGGTGCGCTGGGGTCTCGGCTTCGCCCACAGGGTCAGCGTGCTGCGCCACGCAGCACTGCAGCTTCTGTGCCCACTGCAGGGCCTGAGCACCTTGATTTCTGCTCTGCAGGGCACTGATGTGGGAGCAATGTTTTTATTTCTCAGCAAAGAAATGTATGAATTCTATGTATTTTTTTATGTTTCATAGAATTCAATTCGCCACAATCTCTCTCTGAATCGTTATTTCATCAAAGTACCACGTTCCCAGGAAGAACCAGGCAAAGGCTCCTTCTGGAGGATAGATCCTGCCTCTGAAAGCAAACTGATCGAGCAGGCCTTTAGGAAACGGCGGCCCAGGGGCGTGCCTTGCTTTAGAACCCCTCTGGGACCCCTGGCGTCTAGGTAAGGAAAAAAGACAAAGACCTCAGTTAATAATACATTTGCCTTCGATGTGTTGGTAGATCTTCCTTTTGCAGATGAAGGAACTACCAAATGCACTGTGGTTAAATGTTGGGATGGGTATTTGAAAAAAAAGTGTTGGATGCTACCCATGCACTTTTGTTTATAGTGGCCTGAGACAACTGAGATGTTTGAAGTTCTACAGAAACTCCACGCCATGTGGCAATTGTTTCTTCATTGTGCTCCAGCAATCTTACTATAACGATGCCACTTGATGAGTAGTGTTTTTCCTTTCCCGTGGCATGTGAAAACCTCTGAAAGCTGCATTTTAGCTACTTAAACTCATTACTGCCTGATTTTAAAAAAACAGGCTTTTAGCTTCATTAATAGATGCTCTGTTTTTAAACAAAAGAAATAACTGTAACAAAGTCTTGAGCCCCCATGGCAGAATCTTGAGCCCCCTGGCTGGATGGGAGCTGCTTTGAGAGGACAGTCCCTCTCTGTGTTGTGTGGCCTGCACTGGCACAATAGGGCCCTGACACAGATGAGCCAGTCTTGCCGAGGGTCTGTCTTAGGTTGCAGATATTCATGGAAAAAGTAAGACTTACAAAACAGCAGTTGGTGGGCAGAAGACAAATGGTAGCTTTTGCAAAATATACTTACTAAAACAAGGCAGCCTTAGGAATGCTTTGCCTTAAAAACTGTCTTCTTTTTGGTAATACAGAAGCGCCCCAGCCTCTCCCAATCACGCTGGAGTGCTGTCTGCTCACTCCAGCGGCGCCCAGACCCCTGAGAGCCTGTCAAGGGAAGGCTCACCGGCCCCCTTGGAGCCTGAGCCTGGAGCCTCACAGCCTAAACTCGCCGTCATCCAGGAGGCACGGTTTGCCCAGAGTGCACCAGGTGAGACGTGCAGAGGGCAGGTATGGTGGGAGGAGGTGCCAGACTGGGCTCGCTGGAGAGGAACTAGAAAGAGGCCTTGGTTCCTTTGAACCTGACACTTCCTTGCATACACCTGAGTGTTACTTTATAGGCTCCAGAAAATTAATAGCACTGCATGTGTTTGAAGAAGTCAGTGAACATTCTTTTATGTGTCAGTGTGTAGGTAGGTACATGAAATAATTTAGAATGAACCTGTTTCTCAGTTGCTTTATCATTTAAAAAGCCGTGAAAAAAATTCCTCCCAAAAAGACGACATAAATTAGACAAACTAGACATTGATTGGCAGCAAAAATCTCCATTTAATGAACATGAATATTTCACAAGTTACTTGTAAAGTTGCAATGTGGGGGGAAAAATGTGCCCTGGGCAATTTTTTTAAAAACACATAGTATGACCTGTGTCCAAACGAATTCTGCTGTGGTTCCTGGTTGGCTGGCAGAATGTGGACAGTGATGCATGGGAGTTCCTGTCCTGCCAGCAGCCCCGTGCCATCCCCGCACCCTGTCTGTAGCTCCTGTCGCCTGTGTATCTTTTCCTTATTCTGAGCCCACACCAAAAAGAGGAGGGGAGTTACAAAGCCACCTCTGCCCTGAACCCTCCACTCCCCACACACCCGTTGAAAGGGGAAGACTCGGCTCCCTGTGCGGCCCCCAGTAAGCAGCTGCTTCCCATTGCCTGTGTTGGCATTTTTCTTTTTCATGAGGGAAGAACTGTGGGAACAGTTGTAAGAAATCCAAACAGAGCAGAGACTGCATTTTCAGCAGTTTGATACATGAATTAAATATCCCCATCAGAATACCATGTTCTCTCATCACAGTGACTTTACTATGACAAGACGACAGGCTGTACCCTGTTGTGTTAGATTAGTCTGTGTGACCTACCGTAGGCAGTGGGTTAGGGGAAACTGGAGGGAGGAACTCATTCCTGTTTCCGTCATCTCCGGCAGGCTCGCCTCTGTCTAGTCAGCCCGTTTTAATTGCTGTGCAGCGACAGCTGCCACCAACGATCAAGCCCGTCACCTACACTGTCACCGCCCCTGTGACCACTTCGACCTCCCAGCAGCCCGTTGTGCAGACAGTTCACGTTGTCCACCAGATCCCAGCAGTCTCTGTCACCAGCGTAGCTGGACTGGCCCCAGCGAACACGTACACCGTGGCTGGGCAGGCAGTGGTCACTCAGGCGGCCGTGCTGGCCCCGCCCGAGGCAGAGCCACAGGAGAACGGCGACCACAGGGAGGTGAAAGGTGAGCAGTGGGGGCGGTCATGGCAGGCAGGTTTTTAAGCTCCTAGAAACCCACCGAATTTGTTCATCCTGACCCTTTCTAATGTGTGAGAAAGGTAAGAGTCTCTGAGCTATCCAGGAGTATTAGTTGGTGTCATTTCTTCTCTTTTCCTTTTTTAAATTTCAGTGAAAGTAGAGCCCATCCCGGCAGTTAGCCACGCCACGCTAGGCGCCGGCCGGATCATTCAGACGCCACAGGCCACCCCTGTCCAGACGGTCACCATAGTACAACAGGCACCTCTAGGTCAGCACCAGCTACCAATAAAAACTGTGACGCAAAATGGGACTCACGTGGTGCCAATCCCTGCCGTCCACAGCCAGGTGAACAATGGTAAGCAGTGTCCCCATGGGTAGCTGGGCGCTGGCACCAAGAGCAGAGGCCTTTTGCTCCTTTTTATGCATCACGGTCGGAGCCCAGTGTCTGGTTCTGATTGTTAATTATTTTCATCTTTGGAGGAAATGTCTGTATTTCTGAGGTGTAGGATGCCTGGTCACACTGTGGAACACTCAGGAACTGGCTGTGGACATGGGGTCCCATTGGAGGGCCTAGCTGAACAAGGATCAGGTTTCTAAATACCCAGAAAGAGAAAATACTCCTACCTTTTGTGGATACCTGGTTGTGGCTTAGAAGCAGCTTAAGGTTTTGGTGGTAGAACCTATCTTCTGAAATGTCCCCCAGGGAGCAGTGCTAGTGGAGCCTTCTGCCACCCAGCCCTCAGAGTGAAAGGTGGGAGTCCCAGCTGGCTATTAAGTCCGTTCAGGAGTTTGGGGTCCTGCTTGTTGGAGTGAGGACATTCCAGCAGTGGGCCCTCGCACAGGCACAGGAGGGTCTGCTGTCTGCACATGGGGGCCCCTGTGCAGCCCTGGCCCGAACCCAGGCCCCTGCAGGGCTTCGGGCAGTGGAGCCAGAAGCTCTCCATGCCCATTGATGGCTTAACTGTTGACCTCTGAACCCTTGCTGAGTTGTCGAGGAAGGAAGAAGACCTTTTGAGACCAGTACTTACCTCCTGTGACTCCGATTGCTACCCTGCCTCTCCCTAAACCTAATGGAAGAGTAAGGTCTGGAAACTTTTCTGGGGAAGACTAACCCCCTGAAAGGTGGTTGTTATGTAAGTAACAGCTGACACATCCCAGTCTATGCATGAATTGAGAAATTCATAGTCATGTGTCCATTTGAAATGCTTGCCAAGTGCTGTCTCTCCTAAGTAATTATGAATTGTTTGGGCTTTGTTCTCTTCCCTCTGAATAACTTTGCTGTTGCGGATGGTCTTGACATGGCAAACCTGCTGGCCTGGTGCGCAGCTGAAAGCAGGCCATGGGCAGCCTGTTTCTGGTCTCAGTCTTTCTTCCCAGTCATAAGCCGTTGGTGTAGACCAGTGATTCCCAGACGTCATGTGCCTCAGAATCACTCAAGGGTCCCCTCCCAGAGTCCCTGGTAAGCAGACCTGGCCTGAACCATACGTTTCTCACATGTTCCAAGTCATCTGAGAGCCATCCGTGCAGATTAGGGGCCTTTATGTCCACCTGTCTGTATGATGGCTTTTTAAAACTATATCGCTTTCACTTATTTAAGTTGCGTATCTAAAATTTTTCTAATAAATTTCTTAATAAATTAGGGATTAAATTTTCCACTATTGAAAATACTGATATTTTAAAGTAAAACGTTCACATCCTCCTTTGAAATGTGCTACCAGCTCTGATTCCCCCCACCCCAACTCTTGCAGTGCAGACCCCCACCCCCCACTCATTTCCTATTAATGCCGTATACTGTTCGAATGTCCTTGGCCGAGCACAATTTTTTCTCTTCAACAACAAAACATAGAAACATGAAAAATAAAATTGTGACTCTTAAGGATTGATTTATCAATTTTTATTACTATGGAATTAATCAAAACCAAACTATAATTCTTATAAAAAATTAAAGTTGTATTAAAGATGCACTTCTTAGTGTGTCAGGGCCTTAGAGAAAACCGCACAACTGTTTCTTACGCTCCGCGGTAACTTCTGCCGGCGGTAGGCGGCTCTGGACAGCCTGAGGCCTCGCACCCACACAGAGGGAAGGGCGGAAGGAATGCAAAATGCCTTCTGGCTTCAGTCATCTTTTAGCAGAAGCTCTCTATTACCTTGCCGTGTCAAGTTGGTTCGCTTCTAATTAGGTTGCAGTCTTTTACTTAGAAATCACTTGGCTCCAAAAACGATCTACTGCCTGGTCAGTAGTAATCCAGTTTCACAGCATCTGTGTTTCCAGCTGTCACTTTGTTCACTCTCCGGGAGGCTGGTGAGGTAGGAGGTGGCGGCAGGTGAGCTTTTTGGGAAAGGCCTCCTGGGTGAGCAGAGGCTCTGGGGGTGATTTTCCTTCAGGAGCTGCTTGGACGCTTCACAGCCTAGCTGTGACCTCCTTTCACTCTTGAGGAAGGGAAGACACACCTGTTGTCAAAGCTTCTGATTTAACATTAAATATTAACATTTTTCTTTTAATATTAATAATTTTCTTTTAAACTTTTTATTAGGGAAAATGTCAGACATTCTGGAAATTAACTCATAGCCGGTCTTGTTCCATTTCCTGCTCATCTCCGCACCCAGATCCAGACACGTCATTCCATCTGTTACTACTTCAGCATGCATCTCTCAAAGATAACTCACTTTTAATACATAAGCACAATATCATTATAATGGTTTTTTAAATTAACAATTTTAAGTGTGGTAAAATATCCATAAAGTTACCATTATCACGTATACAGTTCAGTGGCATTAAGTACATTCAGTGTTTTGTAACTATCACCTCTAACCAGTTCAGAAGCACTTTGGGATGCTGAAAGGAGACGTCACACCTGCTAAGCAGTTCCCCTTCCCCCACTTACCTCAGCCCCTGGTAACCACTAATCTGCTTTCTGTGTCTCTATGGACTTCCCTGTATTGGCTGTTTCCTGTAAAAGGAATTGCACTGCATGTGGCCTTGCCCATCTGGCCCCTCTCTCGTGTAGCATGAGGGGTGGAGCCTGTATCCACACAGCATCCCTTTTCTGGTGGAGCACGTCTCCCTTGTTACCCACTCCTCAAGCGAGGGTATTGGGTGGTCTCATCCTTCCAGCTGTTGGGGATAACGCTGCTGTGAAAGTTCATGCCCAGGTGTTTGTTGAAGTTACGGTTTTCATTTCTTTGGGGCATGTACATAGGAATGGAATGGCTGAGTCCTATGGCAGCTCCATGTCTAATTTACAGAGGGCTTGTGCAGTTACCCACAGTGGCCGCCTCTTGCGCTCCCACCAGGGGCGTACGAAGGCCACGTCACCCACATCCTCCCCGGCTTGCTTTCCAGTGTCTGCTCCTGGCTGTCATAGTGGGCGTGATGTGGCGACTAACTGTGGTTTTGATTTTCATCTCCCTCCTGACTAGTGATGTCGAGCATCTTTCATGTACATTTTGGTCATTTGTGTATCATCTTCAAAGAAATCCCTATTTAACTACTTCGCCCGCTTTTTAACTGAGTTGTCGTTTTTTGTTGAGTTGTAGGTGCTCTTAATGTATTCTGGGTATCACCTCCTGATCAAATACATGGTGTGCAAATGTTTTCTCCCCCATTCAGTGGGTTTGTCTTTTCACTTTCTTTGTAGTATCTTTAATGTACAAAAATTTGTGATTTTAATGAAACCTAGTTAACCTGTTTTTCCCTTTTGTTTCTGGGCATTGGGTATCATATCTAAGAATCTATCCCCAAACCTGAGGTCATGAAGGTTAACCCCTTTTTCTTCTAAGAGTGTTGTTGTTTTAGTTCTTCTGTTTAGGTCTTTGATTCATTTTGAAATAATTTTGTATTTACTGTGAGGTAAGAGCGTAGCTTCATTCTTTAGTGTGTGGATGTCCAGTTGTCCCAGCACCATGTGTTGAAGAGACTGTTCTTTCCCCATTGAGTGGTTCATGTGAATTTTAGGATCAACCTTTCAATTTCTTCAGGAAAAGCTTTGGGGATTTGGCAGGGATTGCATTGAATCTGTAGATTGCTTGAGTAATAAAAGCATCTTAAAAATATTGTCTTCTAATCCACGAGCATGGGATGTCAGTCCATTTATTTAGGTCTTTAATTGCTTTCAACAGTATTTCAATTTTTCAGTATTTAATTTAGAAGTCTTGGTTCAATTTCTTCTGATTTTATTCTTCTCATTTTCTAAGTGGAATTCTTAATATCCTTTTTATATTGTTACTTGCTTCTGTCTAGAAATACAGGTGACTTCTGTGTGTTGGTCTTTTACCTGCAACTTGGCTGAGTTCCTTTATCGATTTTAATGGTTTGTGGTTTAGTGGGTTTCCTTAGGCAGGCTTGTCAGGATTTCCTGTCTGTAAGGACGTCATGTGCCAGCAGGGGTCGTTTTACTTCCTCACCCATTTGGGTGCCTTTGTCTCTCCTGCCTGGGCTCTGGCTAGAGGCGCAGCGGCAACAGCGAGCACCCTCGTCTTGTTCCTGACCCACGCTGGGCCAGTGTGGAGTGGGTCCTCTTCCTGGGGCTTCTGGGGCTGCTTGCACTGCTCACAAGAAGGCCAGACATGCGTCTGGCCACCCCTCAGCCTCTCCTCTCCACTGCTGGTCATAGTCAGTCTTTGCTGAGCCTCTGCAACCCTAGGCCTCTCTGCCTTAGGGGACACTGGGAGTCAAGAAAAAAAGTCAACTCACACTGCTGGCAGTGTTCTCCCGTGACCCTGAGGGAGAGTCTCCATCGTGCTCACAGGTATTGTTCCCTCTCCTCACAGACAGTGGCTCCCAGCAGTCTGGCCGGTGCCTCACTGGGATCCTGGCCAGTCTTGCCATGTTTGTGTGTGGCCGGGCCCCTTACTGTGAAGGAGGTGGAAGGGTGTTGCGGGGTGAATGTGACAGCTGGGGATGGCTTGCACCTGAGTGCTTGCATGACATGTTCTGTGACAGCCTGATGCTCGTAGGATGCCCCAGGCCTCTTGGAGTCACCTGCAGGGTTCACGTGTAGTGAGCAGAGCACCCGCTTCCATCAGCACTGCCCTGTGCCTCCTGTGGAGTGCTCGGGACTCTGGAGGGCATGGCGGGAGAGCCCCCTGCTGGTGTGTGGCCTTAGGCAGGAGGCGCAGACTCTGCATGCCTGTGGGCCCACTCTCTCTGAGGCCGGCGCGCTGGGGGTGAGCCTGTGCACTGACCCTCGGTATTTGTGGGCTCTGTGTCTGTACATGTCATTAGCTGTTAACTGCAACTCAGTACTCGTGGGTTTCACAGTCACCCTGGGCACATGCAGAACAGCGCAACATTAGAGTCAGCCAGAAGAATGTAGGCTGGGTGTCATTGCCATCCCAGCACCCACAGGCTCTTGTTCATAAAGGGACTCAGCAGCTGTTCTTCAATGAATGAAGGAGTGTCAGAGGCCCCACATTAATCAGGGTCTAGTCATGCAGCCTCTTTGTTCCCTGAGGTCATAGCCACCCTGGCATCCTGTCTAGGTCAGGGGCCTGTTCCCTCCAAGGCCAGAGGCTGACAGTTCTTGGGGTAGCTGGCCTTGGGACTCTCTCGGGCTAGTCTTGTGATTGGGAGGACATTGACCTCCAAAGCCCCCCTGGGTGGCTCCCAAAAGGATGTCCTCTCTCCTTTTCCCTATGAGTGTGAGAAGGAAAAGGTGGATGTCACCCACCACTTGGATGTTTCTCTGAGTTGGGGACAAGACAGGTCAGCCTTGGTTGCAGTATCGCTTCTTGCACTGCTCCACTAGCCAAGTAGAGTCTGCAATAGCCAGTGAGCATCCGCACACGTGGCCCTGGGAGGGGACTCAGCAGTTGAGGGGTGTCTGCAACGAGCTGTGCACCATCTCTGCACCTTCTTGGTGGTATCAAGTCTTCCAGCCCAGAAGTGTGGGCTGGTCTTCAGGCTGCTTGGATCGTGCGGCCCTGCGGTGAGTCCCCATGTGCCTTGAGCAGCCTGACTCCATTCCCATTCCCTTTCCTTTGGGTTCCCAGGGCAGCTGTTTGCCAGCCTGATGCCTCTGTTCTGGGTTCTTTGCTGTTCTTCAGCTTGGCTTCCCAGCTGTTTCCCATGTTTGGTCTGGGAGAGGCTTGGAGGAGGAATTCAGATGTGGGTGCCCCCACATGGGGTCATCAGTGAGGTTGGCAGTTCTGCCCCTGCCCCAGGGAAGTTGTTCCTGGGTCCCATAGCTGCTGGGAACTGTCCACCCAAGAGGCCAGTGTCCCCCACCTCTCTGGTCCCAAGTCAAGGCAAAGAGGGAAGGTGGAACAGAAGCAAAGTCGAGAGCAGGCACCCTAGTCCTTTGGTCCCCTCAGTCCTGTTGGCTTGTTTTCTCATTTATTTCCAAAGCCATATTCTTCCCAGAGACACCAACACTCCATTTGTTTGGGGTTTTCCTAAAAGGTCCCACAAGTGTACCCCTTGCATGCCTGAGAAGACCCACCGCTGGCTATTGCGTGCAGGGTTTTACAAGCATGTGCCTCCTGACCTAAGACAGGTCCTTCTCGGAAGAGCGAGGCCTTGGACAGCAGTACAGGCTTCTCACGAGCCAGATACAGCCAAATTAGCAGTTTGCTTCCTAGTAGCTCATGGTTTCCAGTGAGGGTTTGGCATTTTCCCTGGGAGCCTGGTGCTGAGCCGGAGCAGGTGAAGGAGATGCGAGCATGGGGCCACTGGGAGTGCTCACTCAGGGAGCCTCCTCCTTGTCTCTAGCTACGGCGGGGGCGTGGGAGAGCAGCAACCCAAAGGAGCTCACCAGCTCATGCCCATGGAGCTAGCCGACTTACTGTCGAGGGAACAGGCCCGGCCCATGTGCACACAGATAGCCAGCAAGTGGCTGCCCAGCAATGGGTTCCAGCTGGTCATCTGGGGTTGCACCCGCTCTTAGTGGCTGGGCAGCAGCTTACAGTTCATACCTGCAATGACACGGGGCTTTCCCCGGTGTTCTGTTTACATGATTATTCATCAGAACCGGCCGTGGCGCCTTCACCTCCTGCACACTCCTCATGAGGCGCCGTTAGTTCCCTCTCCCACCATGGACAAATACTCTCACTTCTCTCGGGTAAATACCCAGGAGCAGAATGGCTCGGCCACGCGGTTGATGTGTGATGCCTCCTAAGATGTTCACAGACGGTTTTCCCAGGTGGTGGTGCTGGTGTCCATTCCCGTCAGCTGAAGATGAGAGTCCCAGTTGTGCCACACATAGTGTGGTCAGTTTTGGTTTAAATTTGCATTTTCCTAATGATTTCTCATGTTAATGATCTTTTTGTGTGCTTAACATCTGAATATCTTCTTGGGTGAAATGTTTGTTCAAATCTTTTGCCTTTTCAAAAATTGAGTTGTTTCCTTTTTACTGAGTTACGACATTCTATTTAAGCTAGACACAAGTCCTCGTCAGATGTAACTGGGACTTTGGGATGGTGCTGCGTGTTGGAACGGGTGGAGGGGCAGTCCTGGCATTGTGCTGTACTGGGGCTCCTCTTCAGGTGGACTCAGTGTGCACCTCAGGACTGCATGTTTTATTTCATTTGCACATCTTCCCTCATCTCTTCACTTAGCTTCGAGTTCCATTTCCTGAGAGGAGATTCTGCTGTCCTCCTGTGTCAGCTGACACAGTGTGTTACAATATGTAGAGTCACAAAGCTTGGGTTACTCCTTATGCTTAAAGCCCTTACACAGCATGCAGGGCAAACCTATCTGTTGAGTCCCACCAGCAACAGCATAAACATCTAATTCAATGACACCACTGGGCAGAGGAGGGGTGGGGGAGGCGGCATCTGAGTGTCAGACCACTAGCACTCAGGCACTTTGGGCCCATTCTAGGCTTTTTTGTGCACACATGTGTTTCTCTGTAGGTAAGACCCCCATCTGGCTATCTACTGCCTTGGTCTTAAACCTCTCTTGGGCACAAGGGGATGAGGTGGGAGGGCAGAGGTCTCCCTGAACAAGATGCTGTTTTTCTGGGTCCTGTGAGAACTTCCCACCCGATCCTGCCTTCTCACCTTGAGAAAGTGGGACTGTCGTATATGTGGGACAAGCCTCCTGTTGTTCCTCTCCTGGGGTTTGCCTGCTTGTGTAGAGCCTGAGGCAGGTGAGGACAGGAGTAGGGAGGCCTTGGGCCCAGCTGTGGGGTGTGTCCCACACTGGCCTGCAAGGAGGGAGGGTCGCTCAGTGATGAAGACCTGGGTGGGGATCTGGGGGCCAAAAAGATGCCGGGAAGCCAGTCCAGGGGCTCATGGGCACACATCTGCCTGTAAACTCTAGATTTGTGGAACTCAGATGGGGGTTAACTGGCCCAGACACAGGACTTTGCCTGTTAGCCTGAGCCCCATGCCCCTACTTGGGATGAGCTGATCCAGGAGTTGAGTGTGGAGGGGGCTCCAGGGGACCTCTGTGGGAAGAAACTGGCAGCAACAAAGCCATCTGCTGCCTGTTCCGCCTTGGCCCTGCCCGGAGCCTCCACCTCCCCAGGGCTCTGTCGGGTAACGCACTATTTGAAGTGATGAGAAGGGTGCCAGGTGTCACTAAAATAACCATACAGGCATTCACTGCAGGGTTTCTGCTCCAGGGGCCTGGCTGTGCCACATCACACAGAGAAACTGGCCATCTGGGCAGTGCCTGGAGCCAGTGGGTGCCTGGGGACCCAACAGGATGAGGGATTGCCTAAGGGTGCAGGTCTGACTCGCTGTCTTTTTGCAGCAGTGGCGAGTCCTCTGCACATGCTGGCCACGCATGCATCTGCATCGGCCTCCCTGCCCACAAAGCGCCAGAATGGTGACCAGTCGGAGCAGCCGGAGGTAAAGCGGGTCAAGACTGAAGACAGCGAGAGCATTGTCATTGCCCTGAGCGTGGACACGCCAACACCAGCCGTGAGGGAGAAGGGCGCCCAAAACTAGCGACGGGGCGTTCTTCCACTTCGGTGCCACCTCTTCTGGTGCCAGAAGGAGACACTGCCTCCCACCGACGCTTGGAGCGCATTCTCTCGGTGGGTAGAGGGCCCTGCGGTTGGACTTCACCTCAGCACTGAAAACACAAACCCAGGTGGCCTTAAAACTCCTTAATTTAAAGACAGAAGTCACACCTAAACAGAACCACACACACCAAAACCTGGTTCCAGCCGTGTCTCCCTGCGCTCAGCTTTTAACTCTCAGTAAGACTCACCGCCTCCTTGAGGGGACCTGCAGGAGCCGCCCCACCACCCTTGGGGACCCTTGGGGCTGGTGCTGGCAGACAAGACAGTATTCTGTTGTTCACACATGGAATTAGAATATTTTGAGATGTACTCTCTTTCTTTACAGAATAATGGGGTCTTTGGCATTTCAGATCACTCCATTTCTACTTTGGAAGCCGTGGAGTACACAGGGCCCTTCATGTGGATCTCACCTGGGAAAAGAAACAGTGGAGTTTGGTTTGTCCTGTTGCTCGTTTCCAGCCGACAGAATGGTTTGCTTTTGTCCTGGTACAGTTGAGGTGGAGCTACTTGATGACATCCACAGATTTTCTGTTAGAGAAGCTGCCTGATGAATTTTAACCCACCTCCTTTTCAGCGTGCAGGACAGACGGACGCTGCATGTTCCCTGAGGAAAGACCTCTGGACACAGAGCTGCACTCGCTGCTCCCCTTTCTTGGTACTTGTGTTTGTTCTTTGTGTTGACTCTGTCCCAGCATAATTTTCCACTCGAAGTAAAACGAGTCTCCTAAGTATTGTGTATGTTTAAAACGACACAACTAAGTACTACTACCTTTGGAAACAAGCTTCTGTCTTTCCCACACACCCTTTCAAACAAACATCGCACGTTTCTCTTTTGCGTGTGTGCTACTTCAGGTGCGGAGCCCGTGGCTGCCGTAGGCATCATCCCACCAGTGGCCCGCCGGGCTGGTGAGAACCGCTACGGGGCCGGAGTGGAAGCCGCCGGGAGACACACAGGCCTTGGAGGCAAGCACCCTGCGGGGCTAAGCCTGTTAACCTCCGGGTCCTTTCTGACCTGTAATAGGAGATTCCCCTCCACCTTTCAGAGCGGAATCCGGTCCTCAGGCTGACTGCTCTCCTGCAGAAAATGAAAGCGAGAGGCCAGGAAACAGGTGAGAGCTCGCGAAGCCGCAGGCCCTGCACAGGCCCAGCCCCGCTCCTCCGGCGGCAAGCCACTCGCCTTTCCAGAGGGTTCCAGGGGGTCAGGGCCAAGCAGCCATGCAAACAGGAGGGCTTTGGCTTTGTGTGAGTTTTTAAATGTCATCATCATAACGTTATTTATTTAAATGTAGTTATTTTGGTATTTAATTTTTTTTTTTAAGAGAGGAAAAAAAACCTGTATTTTCCTGGTGGAATGAAATGGCTCAGAATGGTATATTTAGGCAATTTCAAAACATTTATTATTTACCTGAAGACCAAATATGATAAATCTGTTCAAAGTATTGTGTGTCAATCCTCAGTATGGAGCTGTCACAATGTTACTGCAGATGATGCATATTAAAAATTATGAAATTACTGCACACTAGCTGGATTTATAACAGCCATTTAAAAAATAAAAACAAAACTATCATGTGAATGAGACCACGTGTGTGACAGTAGCAAAATCTAATGTGCACACTGAAGCATGGCTGGATCAGAGCACCTCGTGGCAGCCATCTGCCTCTTCCAGGCACTGTGCAGAGACCTGGGAATGTATGGGTTTGTCTTTTCACTCAGAAGGTTTGCAACTTGCAGAATAATTGGGATTGCATTGTTTCTTGAGTGTGGGGTCAGGTCCCTCTCGAGTCAAGGTGCCTGCAGCTCCTGGACCATGAGCTCTGAGGAGATGAGTGGACGAGCCCAGCCTGGGGAGGTCAGCTCAGGAGGCACTAGGCAAATGCACTGTGTGTCCTGGAGATGCATCTGCACAGCAGCACACCTGTCGCTGTCTGGAAAGACTTGGTGGACTTTTCCCTCTGCTGGCTCAGCCTGTCAACTGGTTATTTCTGAGCCTGTGGGTCTGGAGGGGTTTTGCTGGGATTATAGATAAGAAAAAGGCCTAGTTCTCAAATCTGAAAGAAGAGAAGGTAAGTCTTTTGCTGTAGGACAGCTGGAGTGTGCCTTTTTCAGAGGTGTGAGCATTGTTTGCTTCTCATTCTTGCCGCCTTATTCAGTTGGCTTGTTGATTGGTACATAGAAATTAAGAATATCAAGGAGAGGGCAGAAAAAAAAACCCTGGATTAGCAAACTACCATATCCTAGGCACTTTGAAAGTTTTTAAAATTTAACTCTGGATCCCCAAGAGCTCATAACACACCCAGGGTCACTGAGCTGTGTCCTTCATGTCCTACTCAATGCCTGGTGCTATGTCAACAGACAAGTTGCGCTGAACTCCCTCCCAACTGTCCGCTGGCGGTTCCTAAGGGACTTAATTCCGGAAGTCTCTGCTTTGACCTTTGCCAAACCTCTGAGCTCCCTGAGGGACAAGAAACTTCATTTCAGCAGCTTTGCCCTGAACCAAACAAAAATACAAAAGGAAAACTAACATACGATCCATGTGATGTGGTGCATTCCAGGGTGTCTGTGCATGGTTTTTGGATTGACTGTCCTCTCGCGTCGGTAGAGTCCCCATGTGAATTGTTGAGCTCCTTAAATACACCACGCCTCGCATCTTTGTCTTCTGTTAAAACAACAGAGTAGACGGGAGCCGTGGTTAAAAGGGGCTTGGGGTTTCTATGCTGTGTGACACAAGAAGATAGTGACAATCTTCAAGTCGTAACCTCCACTGTTCTAGAAAGTATAGTGATAATTTGTGTGCAAAGATCTGAAATTTTAAAAAGTACCAAGTTCCTGAAATTCAATAAAATATTTTTATTAATTTTAATTGGATACTGAGTATTATTGTCATTTCAATAGATGAACAGAAGAGAGCGTTTCTTTTTTGCTTCATGCTCTTTTCTGAGGCTGGGGCACAGACAGCAGCTGGGAAGGCACTGTTGCTGGAAGGGGCACCGTGTCTGCACAGGATAGAGTGTGGGGGTCACGGCGGGTAACAGACCTGCTGCTTGTCATCCATGACAGTGGAGTGTGAGAACTGACTTTGAGGTTCCTCTGCAGACTTACCTCTCAACCATTCAGCAGATGAGGTATGTCCTCACAGGGGATGAAGATCTCATCACATAGGTGCTTTTGCTGTTCAGGTCCCTGCACCGCAGCACCTTGATCGTCCAGCTACTAGAGTCTGTGTTTCAGACTGTGGTATCCTGAAGCTTGCTGAGTGAGCACTTCAGTACCAGCCTGATGGAGGAAGCTCCTTGGGAGCTGAGACGGAAGCTTAGTGTTCAAGGAGAATCCCCGGGTTGGGGGTAGCTCGTTCCCCACAGTGATGCTGTGACTGAAGACAATTTGTACTAGCATAACAGGAACTCCTCATCTACTAAGAGACTTTCTTAACAAAAGGAAGCTCATAATTGGCTTTTTCAGATCTGTTGTCCATGTTTTATTAATAGATACTTTAAAAATGCATTATGGTCTTAACTACCTCCCTTGCTCAGGAAAATCCACTCTGGTAATTCATTAAGCTTACCTTGTTGAGGCTAAGCCGAGTCAAAGAAGAGGTGACAGCTCTTCCAGAGGATAACCTATCTTTTTCCTAGAAAAAGAGGCATTAGAGAGAGGAGGCCTTCAGGTATGGGAAACTCTTCAGCTCTGGTAAGGTCTTCCGTGCAGCAAAAGCGCTGGTGATTATTGTAGAAAGGCCTACACATAAGGCCACATTGCATGATGACAGAGGGGCACATCATGAGCCTGTGTGCATCACCGCAGAGTAAGTTCAGGCCTGAATGGGGGGCGGAACCCCATGGTGTACAGTGGTTTCTGGTGCCGTGCGCTGGCCAGCACTCACTGGAGGCCTCTGAAGAGTGCTGCACCAGGTCAGCACACCTGTTGTTGCTCCCGTGTGTGTCCACAGCAACTCAAAGTTAGATTTTAACAAGGGTCTCGGGACCCCTGGTGACCAGATGTGTGCACAAATGTCCTCGTTCCGCAGTGTCCCCCGCAAGGCCCCAGTGGTGAGCAAGCTCTGCCCTGGGCCTCCCAGGGGTCGCAGCTGGCAGCTGGCGGCAGAACAAAGCACCTCTCCTAGTCCTCTGAAGAAGAAGTGTGAGCAGACTGGGCAGGAGGATTAAAACTGGAGGAACGATTATGGTGACGTGTCTTTCCACATTTTGTTTGCTCTCGTCTCTCCTGGCTTAGACTCCAGAACCTACAATCAGAGCAGCACATTAGAAATGGACATCAGAACACTCAACGCCCCTCCCCTCGTTCCAGCCAGAGGACTGAGGAAGGCGGCCCCTGTGGGACAGACAGTGGGGGAAATTGTGAAGCTGGTGACACTGAGAACAGGGAGAAAACCCTTTACTCCAAGAGGAGGATCGGGAAACATCCAAAGGGGTGGTGGAGGAGGGGGAGAATCCCGTTCCCCTTCCCTGTTTCTCACCACTCTGGCCCTACCTGAACCCAGTCATAGAGTGTGGGAAACATCACAGGAAGGCAAAAAGCAGCTTTTTAGCCAGAGGACCAGGTAAAGGGGTGCCTGGGAGACAGGCAGTGTGGAGGAGGTCAAGGCAAAGAGGAAGGCAGAGGAAGATAGCATAAAGCTGTGTGTCACATCCTGGGTTCACCCTGAATGCCTGGAACTGATCTGGGGAAGCAGAGACCTTATGAACTGAACCGCCATGCAGACTGGCCCTTGGTGTGGTGCACACAGGTGGAGATCTAATAGCACAAACTTGGAGAACAACTGCCACCAGCACCACGGCCCACAGAGGTGGGAGAGCACGTGCAGTCTGAACCTAGCCAGATTTGCCTGCTTAAAAAAAAAAAACTAGAGGATTTTAATAGGACTCAAGAGTCTTTTGCAGAATGTCCAGAATACAATCTAAAATTATGCAATGTACAAAGAGCCAGGAAAATCTTAAGAAAATTAACACACCAACTTGAACATGTTGGAATAATCAGAAAATGGAAGAGCTTTTTACAACGATACTCTGTGAAACAAGGGCAAGTGCTCTTGAAATGAACCAAAAGTTATACAGTTTAAAAATAACTGGAATGGAAAGTTAAATGGATGCACAGAAACACTTTAGGAAATAGAGACCGAGCCTTGTGGGACGATACAACAAGACCTAATGTGTTAATGGATTCCCAGCAAGAGGAGAGACATTAGTGGGAAGAAATTTGTTCAAGAAATAATGGTTGATAATATCCCAAGTTTAGCAAAAGACATACATTTAAAGAGTCAGAGAATTCAGGGAACTCCAAATAGAAAAACATGTCAAGATACACCACTGACTGCTGACATGAGGGTTCATTATCTTCAAAGCAGCCAACGAAAAGTGATGGCCGGCATATAGACTAACAGCAGTTTGATTTCTTGTCAGAAATCAGAGGCTAAATGACTAGAAAAGTTTTGAAGACAAAGCAATTCAATCTAGAATCGAAGGTTTGTAAGGTCTCTGTGTACACTGTCCACTGTAATCACCAGGGCGGTCGCCAGTAATGCCTGACAAGATGAAGTGCAGACCCAAAAGGTACAGTGGAATGCTGCAAGTGTTTCAAGTAATGCCAAAGGGGAGGGGGGAGGAAACAAGCAAATAACAATGACATAGTAGAACCTCAATAATTACATTAAATACAAACAGTCTAAACATACCAATTAGAAGATACTGTCAGATTGGCTCAGAAAAATAAGACCCAGCTTGCTTTAGTGATACAGGCAGGTCAACGGCAAAAGGATTGAGGAGCCAGAGCGAACACACTGAGAGGTGGTGTGGCTGTGATGCCGAAGCAGACTTACGAAGATGACCAGGCATGAGGAAGGGCACCGTGTAATGGCTGTATAATGATAAGGCTCAGCCCCCCCCCCCAGACAGGTGAGTCCTAAGGGTTCCAACACCTGTTGCAACAGAGCCTCAAAGTAAATTCATCCCCATAGTATAGGCCATGAGCCGCCACTATGTCCTAACCAGCAGACAGCTGAACACCCTGAAAAACCAGTTCTTTTTGGATCTGTAGGAGGTGAGGGCACAGGGCAAACCTCTTCCCCCAAACAAGGGACAAACTAGTGAGTACGGGGAGTCAGGGTGCAGAGCAGAGCCACAGGAGCAGAAAGCACAGAACCAGTGCCCAGCTGGGAGACCTGAACCAGCAACAGCTGGGGGCCCGTGCAGACAAGTCCGAGAGTGTTGAATCTGCTTAGGGGTCCCTACACGTCTGCGAGTTTTATTTCCAGGGATTCAAGTACTTCCTCATGGGAAATACTAGAGGAAAAGCAGAGGTGGGGAAAGCAACTGCTGAAATGGGCCAGAGCCCCATTCTTCCTAACCAGGGCCTCGCCTTCTGGGGACTTTGAGTCGCGCCGCCCTGGGGAAGGGAACTGCCCAGCGCCAGCTCCCTCTAGCCATCCTGTTCCCCCGAGCAAGGAGGAGGAGACCGGAGAAGCACCTGAGAGGCCAGAGTGCAGACGCACGGTGCACAGACCCGTGCCCGCACCTTGTGGCCTGTCACAGCAGCTCCTTACCCCGTGTGTCACGTCCGGCTGTCAGGACGGTACACGGCATGAGTAAAAGTAAACGGCTGAGAGAGCACCTTCAGACCAGACGTGGCAGGGCTGTTGGGATCGGACGGGTCTAAAGCAACTGTGCTTGCGTGCTCGCGGCTCTCACAGACACAGGAGCAAGCAAACTGGGCAATTTGAGCAGAGAGATGGAATCCTAACAAAGGACTAAAAAATGTGAGCAATTAAACCCCAACAAACAAAGAATGTCTTTGATGGGCTTCGGGAGGACACAGCTGAGGACAGTATCTGCATTTTGGATATGTCAGCAGAAATCCCCAGAATAAGAAGAAAAGAGAATAAAGCCTGCAAAATAGGCAGAATGTCCAGGAACTGTGGGACAGGTACATCAGGAATAACAGATGTGTCATGGGAAGGAGAAGAGAACAACCCAAGAAACATTTGAAACAATGACAGAATTCCCCTGAATTAATGTCAGACACTAAAGGAGAGATCCAGGAACCCCTGAGAACACCAAGCGGGATAAATGGATAAACAGCAAAAAAACCTCTATGCCTAGGCATACTGTTTGCAAGCAAAGAGCAAGGGCAACAAGTAGACAGCTAACAAATATGGTAGATTTAATCCAACTATAGCAATAATCACTTGGAACAGCAGTGGTTTGAATGTACCAACTAAAAGATTGTGAGAGTGAATTAAAAAACAAGACCCAATATGTTGTCTACAAGAAACCCACTTTAAATATAAGGACACAGACACATGAAAAGTAAATCGCTGGAGAAAAAAATACCATACTAACAACTAACCAAAAGGAAATACGAGTAGTGACATTATTTTCAGACAGAGCAGACTTCAAGTCAAGGAAATTGACTTTGGGCAAAGAAGAGCATACAGGGAACCATCCTCTAAGATGACATAACAGAATAAATGGAGCAAAACCCGATAGAAACACACACTACATTAGCCGCTCAACAGCATTCCCCAGGTAACTGGCAAGCCAAGTAGAAAGCAAGGGTGTAATGGCAGTGACCACAATCAGCTTGACCCAGTGTCCACCAGGGAGTGCCCACCTAGCAGAAAGCCCATGGACCCAAGTACACAAGCAGTGTTTGCCAGTGCAGACCAAAGTCTACAAGATTGAAGGAATTAAAATGTTCTCTGACAATTAGAGAATTGAACTAAAAATAAGATTTTTTTAAATTCTCAAATGTTTGGAAATAACATTTTAAAATAACTCACATGTAAAGGGTAATTAGAAAATAATTGTAACAGAATGGAAATGAAAATATATCAAAAGCTAAAATAGT